TTACTAGAATTACTTCTATAAGGATGTTAATTGCTATAGTTGCATTGAGCGGTCTGGAAATACATCAAATGGATGTAAAGACAACATTCTTGAATAGTGAATTAGATGAAGAAATATATATAAAATAATCTGAGGAATTCATTGCTAATGGACAAGAAAAGAAAGTATGCAAGCTTGTTAAATCTCTATATAGTTTAAAATAAGCACCAAAGTTGTAGCATAAAAAATTTGACAACACAATGTTGTTAAATGAGTTCTAAATAAATGAATGTGACAAATGTGTATATGTCAAGAGCACTCATAGTGGATAAGTTATTGTATGTCTTTATGTTGATGACATGACAAATAAGTTTGAAATAAAAAGACCTAGGTGTTGTTGACAATATATTAGGAATTAAAATTTCTAGAACGTTAGATGAACTCATGTTATCTCAATCTTATTATATTGAAAAAGTATTTAATAAGTTCAAGAAGTATGAGATAAAACCCATGAGAACACCTGTTGATATTAATAATCATCTTTCTAAGAATAAGGGTAATAACATATCACAGTTAAAAAATGTACGTATAATTGATAGTTTAATATATATATAATGAATTGTACCAGTCTAGATATAACATACTTATTGAGTAAGTTAAGTCGATATACAAGTAATCCCAGAAAAGACCACTAAAAAGCAATTATTAGAGTTTTAGGATATTTAAAACATACTCAAAACTATGGTTTGCACTACATGAAGTACTTAGCAGTACTCGAGAGATATACTGATGCTAATTGGATATTGAATACTAAAGATTCAAAATCTATGAGTGGATATGTCTTTACCTTAAATAGTGCAGCCGTGTCTTAGAAATCTTTAAAGCAAACTTGTATTGCTAGATCTATAATAAAATCTAAGTTCATTGCCTTAGATAAAGCTAGAGAAGAAGCTGAATGTCTTTGTAATTTCTTAGAGGATATTCCAAATTGGCCAAAGTCTGTGCATGCAATATACATTTATTGTGATAGCCAATCTACGATTGGAATGACACAAAATTGTATGTATAATGGTAAGTCTAGACACATACGTCGTAGACACAATACTGTTAGACAATTTCCCTCTAATGGTATTTTATCTATTGACTATGTGAAGTCAAGTCATAATATTGCGGATTCACTTACAAAAGATTTGACTAGAGAGTAAATGGAAAGTTCATCGATAGGAGTGAGCTTAAAGCCTATTACTTAACCAAGAGTCACAATAATGTCAACTCAATTTAGCTGACTGGAGATCCCAAGACCTAAATTCAAAGGGACAACCAAATTATATGTAACTTCAGTAAGCACTGAGGAAATTTTTTAAACTCCTTCCTATTCCTATGATGAGACAGTGCACATCTGCAGCGTGAATTAGGATAAGTAACGTTTTTAATGATATTATGTGACTTGAAAATGTCCAAGTGGAGTATAGCAGGATACTCTTGAAAAAATATAGCAGGATACTCTTAATTAGAAATCACCTATGTGAGTAAAGAATGAGCTATTTCTATGAGAATCATAGGTTGATTACTCTAAAATTACTTATGAAACCAAGTGGTGTTCAAGACCAAAATGAACACAAACGTAAGAACCAAACTGTGTTCGAAGGATACAGTGTGAATTTTGTTATCTTGGTTTACATAAACGACTAACAGTTCAAAGACATTATATCCACTGGATAGCCAAATAAATCCGATAGTTTACCACTACGAAAAGTTCAAAGCTACTGACTACTTATCCAGATGTAGTAACTTTTTGCTTGTACTTGAACTAATGTTTGCATTATCATATATTGAATTTTCATTTCTATGAGGGATTGTTGGAAATAATGGTATATTTATTTTTAAAAAAATCATTCAGTAGTGAATGAGAAATTATTAAAGTCTTTGTAATTTTTGAGAATAATTGAAAAGATTGTTAAAGTTTTTGTGACTTTTGAGAGTAATTGAAAAGGATGGTAAAGTCTTTGTAACTTTTGGGAGCAATTAAAAAAGTGTGAAGTGAATATGACATGAAAGGCTATTAATTTAAAATTGGTGACTTTTGATTAAAGACACTAATCCAAATAGTTATATCTTTTCATAAAGTCACAATTAGCACCTTTTGGTTAAAAGACACCATTATAAATAGTCACAACTTTTCATAAAGTCATTATTGATATTTCTTGGACTAAAAGACACCATTTCATAAAATCACCATTGATACCATTTGGATTAAAAGGTACAACTACATATGGTTACACTCTTTATGAAAAACTACTAGGGAGTCTAAAAATAGGTGATTCTTTACATTCTCAAAACATACTATTGAACAATTCAAGAATTGCTCTCTCATTCTAGTTCTCTTAATTATCCAAAATACTGAATTAAGTATTCAGTTTTTCTTCTCTTTCTCTCTCTCTCTACATATTGCTGTATTTTTATTTCAAGTTCGGTTTAAGTATAAACACAAAATTGTGTTCGTTGGAATTTTGGAGATTAAGAAAACTATCTTTGGAGACAATTGCTTATCAACCTTAAGCACCGAAAGGAAGCAAATTTGTCTTAAGAAAACTATGATAACACAAAGCTCAAATTATTGTTTTTATTATTGGATTTATGGATTTTACTATTCTTACTGTTTTGTGTCAATGTAAGTGTACTAGTTTTGATTTCTATATATTCTGTTTAGATTAGTACATAAATTAGACTTGATACAGTTTAATAAAATCTAATTTTATACATATTATATATTACAAAAACAAACCCTGTTAGTCAAAAATAGGTGCAACCGTTTCACCTGCTCTTTCTCTGTCCAAAAAGAACACACAAATTATAACAACTCTAGTTGTATAAAATATGTATGAAAAAGATAATACAAATGCTTACAACTTGAGGATCTTTAGGCCATTCGATCCTAGAAAATAGGAGCCCTTCATTTCTTGCCTGTGCCAATACATATTCCAGGTATCAAGCTGTACTCTGGGTATCAATGTAATTTTGTATAATCTTAGATGAAGAAGGTGTACATAATCTTCAAAGCATTAATGTCTAGCCAATTGCATACCTCAAATTTGATGACAGCAGATCGTGTGTAACAACCTCATATAATTTTGAATGATGGCAAATGAAAGTGAAAAGTAAGCAAAAAAAACTTTGTTTTGGAAGATGGAGAGTTGGAGCACTATTTTTGATGACGAGTCTTTAAATTTGGAAGAGAAAATGGGAATGGAATGAGAAGAGACCATGGTTATTACTTACTATTGTTAATAAAACTTTTAATGTTTTTAAAAAATGACTTTATTTGATCATGGATATTGGTAACTGTAATTGGAAAATCAAGAGGTAAAATTACATTCTACATAAGAAAAATATTTGAGGTAATGATCACAAAAATATATTTTTGAGTTTATTAGCCTTTTAGAAATAGTACGAGCTCGTTTAATTGCCGTATTAAAAATAGATGAATTAAATAAAATAATTTAATCTAATACAGTACAGCATGACAAAAAACAAGATTAAATCAAGTATTAAAATAATACGTAATTTTATCTAGTGTTTGGTAATACACAACATAAACATTAGATAATAGTTATTTAATCCAATCAGTTATTTAGTTAGGGAATTATTTCATTGTATTAATATTGAATTAATAAAAATACCGTTATATTGATGACAACTTAATTTTATCTGTTGGAGAGTTATAATAGCAACCGAGTAGAATAATACGTTTGAGTTGAATTATAATACCACATCTTTTTGTGGTATTAAAATACTTCTATAATACAGGTTTATCATATAAAAAATATACGATAAGTATACGTTTTTTAAATTAATACGGCATCAAATTTACTTACCAAACAAAGTATTAGACCTGATTAAATAAAAATTAGTACAATCTAATATTTAATTCTCTCATAATATGTTTACCAAATGAGTCATATAAATATAAATTAATATAGATATAGATAAATATTGATGCTAAAAGGATAATGTCAACATTAGTTATTTTAATAAGGACATCATAGTTAAACAAAAAAATTTCACTTTTACTGACATTTTAAAATAGTATAGACACATGTAAGTGGGTTTGTTAACGTGTTGGTGAGATGGTTTCATGTCAAAAAACATATCTACTCATATCTGATTCGTTTATTAGTTCGTGTCTAACGAATTGTGTTATATCAGGTTTGTGTCATATATGAATCGTATATAATCAGTATATACACAAATTATGTCATGTATTTTTTTAAATTGACTTCACTCATACCTGATTCGCTTATTAATCGTATCGTATCAAGTTTACTCATTTACGAAACATATTATTTACGAAAAATCTAAACCCTATAATTTCGTGTCATGTTAATAAGTTATATTATACTTTGACATTCGGATGTGCACATGAGACGGTCAGCTAAAATTAGCAATAAATTTAGACAGAAAAATCACATTAAATTATATAATTAAAACAAAAAATTGTTCAAGATCTTGAAAAAAAATAGATGGCATTGGAGACTTTGGGCCAGACATTTTTGAGCCCATGTCAAGCTATCATCAAACCCAATAAATCACCTTCCTAGTTCCTTGTACAAACAACATTATCCCCCGACTTCATCTCTCTCTATTCTCTTGTCAATCGTCGTCATCCTTCACAACCTCTGAATCGATCCCCCAGAACAAGAATCTCAAACTCTCAAATTCATAGCCCAGTGCCGCACAAATACCGCCAAATAATAGTGTCAGGGCCTTTTCTTAATTGAGCTGAACAGCCAACGATGCTAAGTCTTGGAAGATTTCCACCATCCCTGCAGTGTAACACAACCCTTTATTCTCCCATTTCATACTGTGGTATACTCAGTAACAAAACCAATCAAACCTACCATTATTTTCCCCCAACCGAAGCGAACCCACTCAGTTTTGGTACTTATCTTGCGCAAAAACGTACTGGGTTCTGTGTTTATGGCTTAAAAAGTGGGAGAAAAGGTGGCAGCAGTCTCTTGGAAATGGATAGTTTTGTTGGTGATTTTGAAGAAGAAGAAGATGATGATGAGTTTGCTGTTCCTTTGAGGAATATGAAAGAGTGGCTTGAGAACAAACCGCGTGGATTTGGAGAAGGAAAAATGTATGATACTTCAGTTGAGGACAAGTTGATGGAAGAAATTGAGCAGAGCAGGCAGGCTCAACTTGCCAATATAAATAAGCTTAAGAACAGTCCTACAAATCCCAGTTCCAAGAAAGCACAAATTCAGCACCAGAAAGGTTAGTTATTTTTTTAATCGATCTGCAATTTGTTAACTGAATATCCTATATTGTTAATGTGCTCCTTTGCGTCTTTTGTTTGTACTGCCCCGGACAGCAATTATGTGGAAGAAGTTGTTTTGTTTTGAATGATGAATGTGAATTTCAATTCAATAGAACTATTTTTTCTATCCTGTAAGCTTAATCAATTTGGCATAATTTTTTTGAGGAATTGTGTTCCTGTTCATGCGGAAGGGAGAAAAGAAAAAAAGTTGGGGGGGGGGGGG